ATATTTGTGATATCACAAATCCCGGAAAATATGCGTTGTAGTTCAAACGATTCGTTCGTTGTAGTTTTTGAAAAGTGATTTCTGTTGAATAAAATATCTCCTTTTGAAGTAGACTTTGAGCTTTGTAACTTTGCAGATCTTTTTTATGCTCAAACAGCAACATTACAGCCTAACTAAAGTTGAAAAAGGGAAAAAGCATAATAGGACCCCTTTAATGATTGCAGTGGCCAGATTTCAAGAGGTAAAATCACCCAATCAGCTTTATACATAAATCTATACATTTTCTGCCCAGTGATGAAATGTAAAAAAAAAAAAGAACGACAGTAATAGTCATGATTATAGTTTTGACCAAAATAATCGTGATTAACTTTTGATTAATAATAACTTAAAGGGGTCCTATTATGCTTTTTCACTTTTTCAACTTTAGTTAGTCTGTAATGTTGCTGTTTGAGCATAAAAAAGATCTACAAAGTTCAAAGTCCACTTCAAAAGGAGATATTTTATGAAGGCGGGCTTTCATTTGATTCAGGAACTATTCGAGCTGTTCATGCCAGACTGGGGAGAGAGGTGTTGTAATAATGTAAAATATGTGAAAAATAATGTGTTTTTCGAACAACCTAGTATGAGAGCCTGTTCTAGTACACCCCCAAAGCAAAATCAAGACTTTGTAAAAGAGCATAATAGAACCCCTTTAATAACTTTAGATTTTTTTTAAATAATCGTGATTAACCATTATTGCGTTATCGTGTTAAACCGATGACCAGATTTGTTGCTCTATTTAACAGCAATAACTCATTGTGAAACTCTCTATGTTTGAACACCAGGTGTGTGAACTGGACATTATCTTCAACTTTGAGAAAGCCTATTACATCCTGGATGAGTTCATACTGGGTGGTGAAGCCCAGGAGACATCGAAGAAGATTGTTCTGAAGGCCATAGAGCAGGCTGACATGCTGCAGGAGGTGAGGAACACACATATTGCATGTTTGTTTGTTTTAGTATATGAAGTGACAATTGGGCCTTTTCTAAGTTGTTGAATGAATTTTCTCTGGTTCTTACCTCTATCAGGAAGCAGAGACTCCACGTAGTGTTCTGGAGGAGATTGGACTGACATAAATGAAGAGAACTCATCCTACCCAAACACTAACACACATCTTCCTTTTTTTTTTCCTGTGGGCATTTTCTCTACATTTGTATTTAGGTTAGCTCAAAAGTAGTGATCAGTACTTCTTGCATAAACAGTTATATATTGACGCTTGTATTTCTACTGCCAAACATCAATCAAGCACGTTGAAATATTGATGCAACACTATCTTAGTAGTTATGCAAATTTCCCAGTGTTCGGCTGTTTGGATTCAGGTTTGGATCAGTACATGTGTAGCAAAGTTTAGTGTCAACATCCCCACACAACGTCTTATCTGTAGATTTTAAGCATTACCTCTCACCTTCAGCTGCCTTAAAACACTCATTTCCAGCTCACACCGTTGCCAGTATCTTATGCAGCTCTCAGTAGATCCGAGTCAATGGGCTGTCACTGTTCCAAGACCAAGCCTTGCTGAAGTGTTACGGACCAGATAATGTAACTCAGCATTCAATTTTTGGGCATAAATTCATGGATTGTATTAAGGCACAAGATCAGTATTAGTAAAGTCTTGACCAGAAACACTGTAATGATTTGTTCCCATAAACACTTAATTGGTTCAGGCATATCAGCCATTCAACTGTTTTATTTCCAATGCCAAAGAATCTTCTCCACCACCCTCAGGCCTTTTCCTTAAAATCATCTTCGTATGCTGACGTATTGGACTTTGATTTTCTGACTTCCTTTTGAAAATATGTCTTTTGAAGCTTCATGAAAACACAAGAATAAAGGCAGATATTGCCGCATGTTGTGCAAATCCTTGATGATCTTTTACTAATAAAAATATTTGATACGTAAACTCATCATAAAATGAAAATTCCCCATAAGTGCATCTTAAAGGGATAGTTCACCCAAAAATGAAGGTTCTGTTTGTTCCAAACCTGTATGAATTTCTTTATTGTGTTGAACATAAAAGACGATATTTTGGAGAATGTTGGTAACCCAAGTTTGTGGTCCCTACAGAAACTATATATAAACGATATATACACAGTATATTCTCTCTGGTGATGAATGCATGACCTCTCCAATCATTTCATCTGTTTAAGCTCCACTCCTTTAGAGTCAACTGCAACTTGTGGATTGGATGGAGGCAGAACTGAATGTGAGATTCAGATCTGCCTCCATCCAAGCCACAACTGATGACCCTACATTTTTTCTTTGTCGATAATCTGTTTCACTCTGATGAACATCACAATATGGAATTAAATATCTGCTGCTTACGTCCGTTGTCACAACTTTAAATAAAATGATCCCTAAGATATGCTTACCCACGTGATGTCTTGTAACCTCTCACTGAAAATGAACAAAATATAATTTCTATCACCAACACTTTCAGAAAAGATTAGATTTCATTACAAATATACAGGAAACGTTTTCATCAGACAAAATCAGGAAAACTAGGCATTTTGTTATGCAAACTAAAATAACAACAGCTGCTTTAAGACAACAGAAGCACAGTTTATGTATTCTAATATAATCTATCCAGACTGTGTGATGCCATCGGATTTGGTAGCATCTGTAAGCGCACAATGGATTTCCTCTTTTGGATGACAGCCCTCCAAATTTGTGGTCTCTACTCCATCTACTGCTGAACCTGTGCTGGATGCCACAGCTGTACGTTCTTCTGATTTAGCCGGCATCTCATCACACTCCTCATTCCGGGAGTCTTTGTCTGACTCCGAGCTTGAGCTGTGTGATTTACTCTTCTTTCTTTTGTGTTTCTTTTTGCCCTTTTTCTTCTTCGTGCTCTTTTTAGAGTGCTTGTGGTGATGTGCATCCATTCGGTCAGAGTTTTCTGGGCTTTGGCTTTCCATCCTGTGACTCTCCCGTTTCACAGACCTGTTTTTGGACACACGTTCTGGACTGTTTGATTTTGACGTCTGTCTTCTCGAGTCTGCTGATGTACATTCACATTGCTTTAACCGGTCTCTGCTATGGGATCGGCTCCTGCTCCTTCTGGATTGCTCTCTCCGAGACATTGATCTCCTTGTCATTGATTGCTCTGACTTCCCTTTCTCTCTGCTTCTGCTACGCTTTTCCCCATTTCGACTGTGTCTCCCTCTGCTGCGACTCCGCCTCTCTCTGCTGTGGCCCCGCCTTTCCTTGCTATGACTCCCCCTCTCTCGGCTACAACCCCGCCTCTCCTGGCTATGACTCCGCATCTCCCGGCTCCATCTTCCCCTGTAACTGTACCGCTCGCGGCTGTGGCTCCTTCGATCTGTCCTCCTGCGCTGGGATATGCGCTCAGGACTATTTCCACGTTGGGACCGCACTCCATCTCTGCTGCCCAAATGGCGACTAGAAAAGCCTCCACTGCGATCAGGGGACATATGAAGATCACGGTCTGCCTCCCAGAATTCATTATCTGGGTTTCTGAACACATGGAGGAAGTTGCAGTGTTTTCCTTTTGGACATTTCCGCCTGTCAAAAAGTCCTGCAAACATAAGAAAAAGAATATAAGGGTATTTAAAGAATATACATGTATATACAATATATACAAAGAAAGGCTAAAAATAGTGATAGAATGAAGAAACTTCTACTATATAAAGATTGAGAAATATAGTTTGTTATTTAGACTAATGCTTTCCTTACCACATATGGCTGTCTTCCATCTAGTTACTGGGGAGAATTCACATTGCAGTTGTCTTCCAGCATACCAGCGGCCATTAAACATCATGAAAGCTTCTCTACATTTCTCCTCTCTGCAGGCATGTATACAGAGATATCAAAATAAAATACAACAATTGTAATTTCTCCTCTGCAGCAATGTCTCTAATATAATAATACTAGACTTACGTGTCGTACTGAACGTAAACATTTCCTCTCAAGTGAGGTTCAAAGTTGCAGCTCACCTATTAAAATATGGGGAAATAATGATTGTTAATTTAATTTTTATTTATTTGATTTAATATAAATTGAATTTAATATAAATTTAGAAACTATCACATTTATTTAATTAAAACATTTATTTATTTATTTTAATACATTTATTTTTAATTTAATTTAAAAATATTAAAATATAAAAACGAAATTTAAACCAGCGTTATCTTAGTATCATTAAGATGCAATTATTTTAAATCTGAAAATGCTGATGTGCAAATCTTGTCGCATCATACCCAAAAAGACTCGAGGCTGTAAAGGTGCTTCAGCTAAGTACTGAGTTACTTGAATACTTATGCAATGTACTTATTTCGTTTTTTTATTTTTAATAAATTTACAAAGTTGTGACAGTTGTGTTTTTGCTTTGTCATTATGGCGTATGGAGTGTAGATTGATGTGGAAAAAAAAGTAGTTTAACATAAGCAGTTTAACATAAGGCTGCAACATAAAATGTGAAATAAATGAATACTTTCGCAAGGCACTGTATATTTAAATAAATATATAATATATATGTAAGGGATAATCAATGGTTTGCCGTGCATTAAAGGATTTTAAATGCACGACGTGGAGGCCAAGAACCACCCGACGCAAAGTGCATTTAAAATCCTTTAATGCACGGCAAGCCCTTGATTATTTCCACTTATTCCATGGTCATTTGCCAAGTTATAGACGTTATAGAAGTTATAGACGCTTCGCGTCGTGCCTAACAACGCCCCTTAGCTGTTATAAATTCACTGTAAACCACGGCTTCTTGGGGCTTATTGCTTTATTTTACCACCTCGCTGTTGAGGAATATAATGTAGCGATCTAGTATCTAGGCTATTTTATTAATAAAAATTGCGGGGAAGTGTTGACAAGAAGTTTATGTGTGTGCGCAGCGCAATCTGCGATCTCCAACCTCTCTCTCTACCTCTGTGTGTGTGTGTGTTTGTGTGCATCAATTAAAGCAGTGCATTAATATGGAACGGTGATTAAACTGACTACCTGTGCATTAAACGGTTTTAATGCATACCTGCCAGGCAATCAGAATCCAGCATTCAGACAGACTATGGAATATATATATATACACACACTATATACAGTGCCCTCCATAAGTATTGGGACAGTAATGACAAAATTGCTCTGTTTGATGTGGAGTCAAGATATCTGTAAATATGATTAAAAGATATTGTATTTTATTTCAGTTATTTTATTTCAAGTTACAAACATTTTAGTTTTACTTTTAGTTAACAATAATAACCCAGATTTAAACATTACATTACATTAAACATTTTATTTTAATTTATTGTTTCTATTATGTTGATGATTTTTAGGTTTTTAATTTTAGTTACCTTGAACTGCACCACCCTCCCTGCGTTCTTGAACTCTGGCACAGCATCTTCATAGAAATCCAGGAACTGCTGGTGCATTTCCTCCTCGCTGTACTCAAGACTGGCATCAGTGTCATAGTCATCACGTCTGCTCTGCTCCATCCCGAACGTCACAAACATCCCCCTCACCATCAGAGTGGTGCTGGATGTTGGGTGGTCATGCTTTCGGGAGCACCTGTTAAAAAAATCATCATTGAAATCTAAAACCTGACCAGAAATTTCATTTTGACTGTCAAAACCAAACTGCTTGAAAACATCAGCTTAATAAATACATACCGGTCTCTAAACCTACAAGCGCCTGTTTTAAGGAAGAAGGGGCAGTTTGCCTTGTCCTTTTCTGTTCCATAATCCTTTGGGGCATCAGGGTTTTTCCAAGGACCACCGTTTTCCAGCTAAATGCAACAAAATAAAGGAGACTTTTCATGATTTTAACAAACTGTATTTTCCAACTTAAATGGAAAGCAAGATGTTACCTGACTCTCTGCTTGATCCAGCATTTTCTGCACAGCTTCCTATAAATGGTGCAAACATACACAGTATGGCGGCTGAAATTCTGTGGTGTGCAAGCACATGTCTGTTCAAATTGGTTAAGACAATCTGTCAGATCATTTGTACATTATAGACTAAAGTTATCTGTATTTTGTAATTCAAATCTTTACAGCAGGGTTTCTCAAAATTTTGGGGGCCTTACAGCCGAGAAATTTTCCTAGGACACCCTCATAATTATAACAGTCATTGAGCACATGCATGGTTAAATTAAACATAAATGTATACAATTTAACAATTTTCTGAAAATGTAAAAAAAATTGTATATAGAGGGCCCTGTAAAATTTACTTTTTTCTCAAAAATAAAGATTAAATACATTTCTTCTGTTTTATTGTTCTCAAATTCAGTGTTTTCAGTTTTTTCCATTTTAATGGTTTAATTAAATTTTTATAATCCAAAAGCATGTCTAATCTAATAAATTCATACAATTTTAACAACTTAATATTACAATAATATGAAATGTTTTGATTTTTATTTATGCAATTGCCTGTTTTAATATTTCTGGATTTGTGATATAGTATAAAGTTATTAAAAACTGTGGCATTAACAAATTAATCTTTTAAAATGTAATCAAATGAAAATGTAACAATTCCCAATTCCTAATTGATTTTTGGCAAGCAAAGTGATGCACAACATGGGTTTACTGTTAAAATTAAAACATAGAAGAAAAAATATTGTGATTATTCTTTTAAAAGTTGTAACGATTGAGAATCCCTGGTTTACTGCACATAATAATTATGTTCTCTGCTGTAGCATCAATAAGCAACATTATCACTATACACCCAAGTGACATGAAAAGATACATGTTCTTCATTGGAAGTGGACACTTGCAGCATTAATCATTTTTGTGTATCTTAGTTAAGGAAATGAAGACGCAATATTCTGCTAAACAAACAAAATCACACACTGTACACATAAAACATAGACTTATGGCACATGGCGTGCATGTAAAATCATGACTGACAAACTGGAAGCCTTTAAAGGCTGATTTGTCTCAGGTAGCATGAGATGTTTTGATATCTGATGTTGGTATAAGGTGTAAGAGCAATAGAGGATATATGTAGACATCTGCATCTTTATCCTCCCAGTGCAGGGATCACCTCTCTCTCTCTCTTCTTTTGCTCCTTCTGCTCCCGCTCCTCTTTTTCTTTCCTTTGCTGCTCCTCCCATTCCTCTCTGATCCTCCTCTGTGGTTACAGAAGCACAGAAAAGCAGATATTGGAGCATTATATGTATACCTAAATTGAGATTCATCCCGGTCATTGCAGAATGTCACGGATTTAATGTGACGTATTTAATTTCACAGATTGCTCACCTCTTCTTCTTCCTTTCTCTTTTCTGCCGCCTCTTCTCTCTCCCTCTTCAGCCTGAATTCGTCCTGTGCAATCTTTTCTCTCTCCAGCCATTCCTGGTGTAATCGCTCACTAGATTGTAAAACAGTGAGACAAATTTGCAGTTTGTCCAGTTAATAATAATTTGTCCTATTGATAATAGCTTATCATACTGAACTTTAAAGGACAAACCTCTGCTCACCACCCATCTGTTCTTCCTCATCTTCAGTTTGGTGCTCCTCATTTTGTGAATGATCTAGAGCTGAAAAAGATGCGATTATCTTATATGACATCTATATATACAGATATACATAAAGATATGTATGTATGTATGTATATATATATATATATATATATACAGCATCTCACAGAAGTGAGTACACCCCTCACATTTTTGTAAATATTTTATTATATCTTTTCATGTGACAACACTGAAGAAATTACACTTTGCTACAATGTAGTAGTGAAGGGGACAGCAAATTTACACTGTTATACAAGCTGTACACTCACTACTTTACATTGTAGCAAAGTGTCGTTTCTTCAGTGTTGTCACATGAAAAGATATAATAAAATATTTACAAAAATGTGAGGGGTGTACTCACTTCTGTGAGATACTGTATATGTATGTATGTATATATATATATATATATATAAGGAAATTATAACATAAAATAAATTGTGCAAATACAGTGTAACTATAATCAAATTACAAGTTATTATAAGTTACCTGCTTCTCTTAATTTAGCAATAGCTTGACGTTTCCTTTTCCTTCTTTCTCGTTTAAGAATAGCTCGTCGTTGTTTTTGACTAAAAAAAGAGATTAAATAAAGAGTGATTAATAAATATCAATGATTTATTTTTTAAATGTTTGCTTATTGATTTCTACACAGCTACAGAATAACACCATCATACAACACCTGAGCTCAACAGAAGCAGTTTCACACTCATCCAACCGACTCTGAGAGTCCTGCGGCTCTGGTGGGTCCGTCTGAAACGAGTAACAGTTATTGTCCGTCATTTTAAAACATTATTTACACATTTCGCCGGTAGACAATAACGTCAAAACTCCTAATAAATGCAACACATTTCACACCAATCATACAACGCGCGCGCAAAGATGACGTCACCTTTACTGTCGTACTCTAAACTTGTGAATGCGCATGCTCAGAGTAGCATGAGGAAGTCAATTCACTTTAGCGAATCGGTTCATTTGGACGGCTCGTTTCAATGAACTACTTCCTCTGTAAAACTATTAAATAAACCTGCTCATATGAAACATTCACTGTGTTATTTATTATTCTTTCATCGTTGTTCACTGTTGTTCCCTGTATTAATAATGATGATGATGATGATGATGATGATAGTTATAAATTACAGTTTTCCTGCTAAACAAAGTCATCTGGGTTTTTTTCCCAAACAAATTGTACAAACAAGAGTACATATAACTATTCT